ATTTCTGAGGATGCTTCCACAAAAACATTGGGGATTCGATGGAATATTTCCGCAGATTTTTTCTCTTTTACGCCACCACAAATGGAAAATCAAGAAAGACATACAAAAAGAGAAGTCCTATCAACAATAGCCAAATTGTTTGACCCTTGTGGATGGCTGGCGCCAGTGGTGGTTGTAGCAAAACTTATAATGCAGCAAATCTGGCTGGACAAAATTGATTGGGATGAAACGTTGAAGCCTTTGACCCAAATAAACTGGAATAATTTCGTGAAAAATAGCCAAAATATAGAAAAACTTAAAGTACCAAGATGGATTCAATACACCGCAGACAGTACGGTGGAAATTCATGGCTTTTGTGATGCTTCGGAAAACGCATATGGAGCAGCCATATACATTCGAGTCGAAAATACTGACAAAAGCGCACATACATTCTTGTTAGCTGCAAAGACTCGGGTAGCTCCGATCAAAAAGCTCTCTATTCCTAGACTCGAATTATGTGGCGCAGTTCTGTTGTCCAAACTGGCCGTATCGATAACGAATAATCTACAAATTTCTCACTATACGACCCAATTTTGGACAGATTCCACGATTGTGTTGGCTTGGTTAAAAAGCCACCTTGTCATTGGAGCACATTTGTAGGAAACCGAGTTTCGGAGATTTCTGAGGGTGTGGGTCAAGAGAACTGGAGGCACATTGACTCTGAAAACAATCCAGCTGATATAGCCAGCCGAGGATGTTCACCTCTCGAATTGCATAATCTACAACTCTGGTGGCATGGACCTCACTGGCTCACATGGCCCAAGGACCGTTGGCCATCAAATACAATTGAAAGCGATACTAATTTAGAGGCAAAAGCAGTCAAAACTCTTACGCTGCTTGAGGAAAAAGATGACCCCTTAAAGAATTTCTCATCGTTAGCCAAAGTTTATCGTTCATACGCATATGCTTTGAGGTTCAGGAAAAACACTGGATCAGACAGACAACTTAGGATGACGTCAAACGAGCTTACAGCTGCCGAAATTCAAGATGGAAAACGAGCAAGCATAATACAGACTCAAAGGTTCTTCTACATGAACGAATATGAAGCATTGAGGAAAAAGACTCGAATTTCATCAACAAGTCCACTTTTGACCTTAAATCCGTTTTAGATTCGAAAGGCATCGTGAGAGCCAATGGAAGATTGGTACAATCTACTGCCTTAACCTACAATGAACGTCATCCTATAATTTTGCCACATGGAGCAATCTTTAGCCAGTTGTTGGTGGACTTTGTTCATAAACTCACTTTGCATGGCGGAAATCAGTTGATGACTCGAATAATAAGGTCCGAATTCTGGATATTTGGACTAAAGTCGCTGGTCAAGAAAATTCTTCGTCACTGTAAAATATGCATTATACATAAAAAAAGGACGCAGGAACAAATAATGGCATCACTTCCACCCGAACGAACTTTTCTGTCCAGACCCTTCACAAATACTGGTGTTGATTTTGCGGGACCCTTCAACATCAAAAGTTATTCTGGAAGAGCTTGTTTCATCACAAAAGGTTATGTGTGTCTTTTTGTCTGCTTTGCGACCAAGGCAATACATTTAGAGCCTACAAGCGACCTCTCAACCCACGCATTTCTTGCCGCGTTTTCAAGATTCGTTAGCCGCCGAGGGTGTCCGTCTTGTATTTATTCCGACAATGGAACCAATTTCGTTGGAGCTGTCGATTTAATAAAAAGAGATAGAATTGCGCTTATCAAAAGCCTTCAAACAAGTACGATTGATAGCAATTTTTACCAAAATCTTAGTTGGAAATTCATCCCACCTGGTGCACCGCACATGGGTGGCTTGTGGGAAGCAGGAGTTAAGTCATTTAAACTTCATTTAAAGAAAAGTATACCGAAAATGAACTTCACGTTTGAGGAATTTACAACAATTTTAGCCCGAATAGAAGCTTGTCTCAATTCGCGACCATTAAGTCCATCTAGCGACGATCCTAATGATTTGTCACCCTTGACTCCCGGTCATTTTCTTATAGGGACATCAATGCTTGCTCCAGCGGAGCCCGATGTTTCAGACACAGACATAAATTTAGTAAATAGGTGGAAACGACTCAGAGTGATTTCCCAATATTTTTGTAACAGATGGAAGTTAGAATATTTGCATGAACTCCATCGAAGAACCAAATGGAAATACCAAAAAGACAACGTTAAAGAGGGAGATTTAGTAGTGGTTAAGGATGACAGACTCGCTCCAAACGAGTGGAAGTTGGGTCGCGTTCAAAAATCTTATCAGGGCACGGATCAAAATACCCGGGTAGTGGATATACGGACTTCTGGTGGCAATATAAGCAGACCCATTACCAAAATTGTTAAACTATTCTCCGACTGACTAGCCGGATATTTCCTCCTAAAAGAACATAGTACTCGCTTCTTGTTTTTTACAGATATGGCTGCTTATCTACCAAATCAAGACTGGCGCCTGGAAGACCGGAGCCGCAGCCCCAGTAACTCAGCCCGGAGCCCCAACCGCCAAGCCCCACAACCTAATCGAAGAGCCCGCAGTCCCAACCAGCCACCGAGGAGCAGACGTGAGGCAAGGCCCAACAGACGCCTTGTAAGCGAGAGACCCAGCAACTGGCAGTACTCCTGTGGACTGTGCCAACAGGACCACAGCCTTTACTCCTGCCCGGTGTTCCGGCGACAGACCCCGTTTCAGAGGTATGAGACGGTGGAAAGACGTGGTTATTGTCGGAACTGTCTGGCAAGGAGCCATCTTGCCCCCGATTGCCCCAGTTTGGATGGCTGCAGACGTTGCGACAGCAGGCACCATACGACCCTGCACGGGGCATCGCAGCTGGATGAGGTGCCTCTGAATATGGAAGCTATAAACGCACCAGCCTTTGCATGGGATTTGGTGTTGGTGCCCACCGTAATGATCAGATTAATGGCCGAAGGGATGGAAGGGTTCGTGATGGTGCGGGCACTGATGAGCCAGTCGGCAACAATGACCACCATTTCATATGCGGCATATAGGCGGTTTGGGCTGCAGCACCGTATATATAAGGGGCAACGCATAACCACATTCACTATACGACCCAGAAGAATAAGCAGCAGCTGGTCTCTGCAAGTAAATGCGGTGGTGAGCGACAAACTACCCAGGCGACTTTATTCGGAGGCTCTGTTGGAAGACCCCACCCGGGGCTTCACTAATTACGCCATCGCCGACCCAGATCCTAGGGGGAACACGCCCATAGATGTGGAATTAGGGGCGGATACATACAACGCGATTCGCAAAAGTGGGTGTGTGGCGGTTGGATTAGGGGATGTACGGGCGTTCAACACACAACTGGGATATGTGTTCGCTGGACCGATCCGGAACATGCCTGCTGCTGAAAATTGTATGGAGCAAGCGGAATTGAAGATTTACACTTGTCACTCGGGGGCCCAGAAATGTTTACGAATGCGTAAACTTTTGATCTCCACTGTCAGTTGGAGTTAACGGCCACTGCGGCAAAATTGTAAATATATGTAATATATGTTGCACCAATACAAATACGCAGTCACCGGTAACTTCCAACTGACTGGAAGTAAATAAGCAACAAATTGATTTGCAAATTTGGTTGCTGAGCTGATGCAAATTAGGCATCGACACAGTTCGTTTTGAAATCGCGCCCGCGAAAGTTAAAAGTGCTCCCCAGTGACAAGTGAAAATTAAAGAAAATAAAGTGAACATTTAAATTAACAAACATAATTTCAGAACATTTTCATACTACACACAACAAACATCATAAAATTACTTAATCAACAAATATACAACACGATCACAAGTCAATACAAAATTTACAAAATTTACAAAAATATAATAATTTTTACACAAAAAATCATACACAAAATTTACATGAATTCAACACAAAAAATCATACATAAATTTACATGAATTGTTACACAAAAAATCATACATAAAATTTACATGAATTGTTACACAAAAAATACAACAAAAATCACACTAATTATTGTATTTCAACAACACGATCACAAAATTTGAATTTGCCACAAAAAACCACTGGAAACCACAAAAACTTAAAACAAATCAAGTGAATAAAGAATTTATTTTTTAATTGAATTTTAAACAATAAAAAAACCCTCTTGTTAATAAAAAAAGGCATCCCAGGTAAGGTAAAAAACAGTTACTAAATTTGGTATTGAGTAAATATGTAGAGCTAGAATCCCAAAACTTCATGTTGAGGTCTCTATTGGTAACTGGTGGTGGTTTTACAAATGTGTACTATAATTGTTCGAAATAGTACTAAATGGTGCCAATTTTGAATTAAAGTTGATGCAAAGGATGTGGAAATGCAGAGTATTTTGGATATGCGCACTAAATGTTACTAAATTTGATATTGGGTAAAGGGATAGAGCTGAAATTCTGAAGATTGGTAATGCGTTCACTCTTGGTTTACATATGGAGTCGAAGGAGTTTTGGATAGAAAAATTGTATGTGGGTCCATTGTGTAATGATCTTACTAATATCCTCCTCTGTTAGCTTCAAAATTAAAGATTTTTAAGACTTTTTGGTATAAAAGGTAAATTTTTTCCTATTATTCTTCCCAATTATTATAATAAAAACATAACAGCAAAATTTGTTAAAATTCAAAATTTGAAGTTAAAAAAATTAATACAAAAAATCAACGCATATAAAATAAAAAAACATTCAAATACTCGGTAAATTAAAAAAATAATCTGCGTTTATTAGACTATTGAAAAAATTATACTCCAGTTAAAAAAAATGTTTCAAAAAATTCCAAGCCTTTTAGATTAAAAACTATTGGGTACTCCAAGAGTTTGCCCTTGGAAACAATATTTATAAAAAGTTCAGAATTATCCAGTCCTTTAAAAATATCTCTAAAAATTAGCGATTTTTTAAATACCACAATGATATATTTACTGCATACTTATACATGTTTTATTTCTTTGGAACCTATTTATGTCTCCTCCATCTCTGCTAAAAACTTCAAAACTAAAATTTTTAAAAATTATTTTTTTTAAGAAAAATTAAAAAGTCTAATTCCAAAAATGTCTATTCTCGAATATTTAGAAAATTTGTACGACACAATTTTACGGTTTTTTGGTGACCATGAAAAATTATTATTTCTAATAAGTGGAGCAATAGTCCTAATGGTGGCAATGCATCAAATGTTTCTGCTATATGTCAATGAAAGCTACAATGGTGCTGTGATGACAAGAAACCAATAATCAATTAAAAAAAGAAAACAAATTACTCACCTCCTCCTCATTCAAATCCAATTGGGAATGTTTAACTGAACCATAACGTTGTATGACACCTGAACCCGACAAATCCTGACGTGATCTGGCATATTCGGGTATGTTGAGCAAAGAACCCTAAATAAAAGCAAATTGTTATTAAAAATTCAATTTCAGTTTGATTTTTCAAAATATTACCTGATACAAAATATCCGGCCTATACATGGTACCGCTGCCCGACTTTTCACGATGATGCTCCTTCAATTGGGCCAAATGCGGTTGACTCATGGCCGATTTGATAATATCTTCATTGCTGGTGCATTTTGAGACTACGGAAATTTCCATTTTTTGATTGACAGCACCATTGGAACCATTTAACTACAACAACAACAAAAATGTATGTATTTTATTTTTATAAAAAATAAATGTCTTATATTTCCCGCTTACCTTATTTTTAAATGAATGACCCACACTGTTCGAGCGACACAAACCATTTGTTTCACTCTTGGGCAACTGCAAATATTGATCTGCTTGCTTAACATTGGCCTTTAAGGGTTCCAGCTCCGCTGGTGTAGCATGTTGATCGATAATGTTCTTCTTTTTCGCCTTGGTAGGTTGTGGTGGTTCCAATGGTCGGAACATGGCACCGAATATTATACAATTCAATACAATGCCTCCAACAATTAGTAAAGCACCACGCCAACCATATGTACCCAGCAGTGACTCCATCAAAGGAGCAAATACAAAGGTACCAAAACCAGAACCACATACTGCAATACCAGTGGCCAGAGAACGTTTGGCCTCGAAATACGTACTAACACTGACAATGGCGGGTAAATAGATTAGACCCAAACCAAGACCGGTACCAAAACCAATGGTGATAATCAATGTGAGGACATTCTGTGGAAATGGAAAATATAGAAAATTATTTTTGACTAATCATTCACATTTTCATATTCAACCCTCCTTACCTGAGCATAGGTACTAATAATAATGCATATTGCGGTTAAAATAGCTCCCGCTATTGTAACAGCTCGACAACCATAGCGATTAACAAATGACGATGAAATTGGGCCTGAAATGTAAAGAAATTAATTTTTGCCTAAAAGTATGCTTTACATTTTAAACAATTCCTTTATTTTTCACACTAGGGGACAAATTTATTTTTCAAATATATTTTTTTTTATTGTTCAACTATGAATTTTGAATACATACCCGATGCAAATGTCACACCAACCATAATTGAGACAATCCATGCCGTATAGCCTTTGCCCTCATTGAAATACACCAAAAATTCATCGTAGAACAGACCAAAGGAATATGTCATGCCATCGGCTGCAATGACAAATACGAAATTTCTTAATACAGGGAATAAAAAATATATATTTTTTTGAGAATTTTTAAAAGGGAAATTCTGTGAAATTTTATATAGCATGTCATGGTAAATTATCTGGCTACAATTCTTTAATTGTAGGAGAGAGGGGTAAGGAAAATGGGAAAAAATTGGTCGTACTGGCAATTTTTTTTTGTGTTCATATTTTTATACAAAAATATGAATAAAAATTACATAAAAGTCTATGACGAAAAAGAAAACTTCTGAAAATAATTGCAAGGAGTAAGTTTAAAAGAGAACCATAAAAATTTGCGTCAAGTATAAATCCGAACTTTATGAAGATAATATGGAAATCATATACATATCTTCAAATCATTTGTTCCACCTCAAAGAAAACCCAGTAAGCAAAAGTCAAAAGTCCGGCGGGCCGATTATATGATACCCTACACCACCATGCATATTTAGTAGAGCTCCCGTAACAAAAGAATTTAAATTGGGAATTTATGTGAAGTAGATAATACCACCTATCATCCTTTGGCTTTAGAGCAGTGATAATTTGGTTTCAGAGGGAGCTTATATATGGGAGGGATATCCAATCCTGAATTGATTTTTAGCAAATTGTACTTGCTTCTAGGCCAAATTCGGTTGGATGTGCCAAAATTCACTCAATTTGGGCTGATATTAGCCATTATTTGCATAATAAACCTGATTAAGGATATATATGGGAGCTATATCCAAATTTTAGCCAATCTCGATAAAATTTGGCAAAGGTATTTCCGAGCTCTATAAGATATCTGGAACCAAATATCATTGTTTTCGAATGCATATTACGAATGTGAGGGACTTCAACACCAAATCGGAGAAAACACATATATGGGAGAGATATAGCTATCTGAACAGATTTTCACCAACGTTGATGTACTTGCTTTTATACTGAATTCGGTCGGATGCACCCAAATTCAGGCAATTTTGACTTATATTGGTGCACAATTAACCCGAATTCGGTTGAAGAAGTTGAAGATACGAAGATATATGGGAACTATATCCCAATCCTAACCGATTATGATAACATTTGGCATTGGTATTTCTGGGATGTATCTGATAACGAACATCATTCTTGTAGGGTGCATATTACGAATAATGGGGACTTAAACACCATATATGGGAGATATAGCTATATCTGAACCGATTTTCTTCAAATTTGCTTCTTGACTGAATTCGTTGGATGTGCCAAAATTCAGGTCATTTGGACTTATATTGGCCATTTGGTGGACAATTAACCCGAAATCGGTTGAATATATATGAGAGGTATTTTGGACTGTATCTGATATGTGAGGCAGGGTGGGGTGCATATTACAAATGTTGGGGACTTAAACACAAAATCCCATAAAACATATATATGGGAGCTATAGCTATAGCTATATCTGAACCGACATTCACCAAAATTGATGTACCTACTTCTACACTGAATTCGGTTGGATGTGCCAAAATTCAGGTCATTTGGACTTATACAGGGTCAGATAAAAAAATGCAATAAAGTCAAACGCCATAATTTTTACATTTTTTTTAAATTTTGTTGACTGAAAGCAAAAAATGTCGGAAACAGCATCTTATTTTAGAACAAGTTTAGATTTGTTCGATTTGGCACGAATTATGGCCTTCAAACGGCCAGTGAAACCGTCACACGCTGCCTGAATATTGCTCTGCGGTGTTTTGGACAATTCCCAGCGAAGCGCTTGCTTGAGGTGATCGACACTTTGGTATTGTTTAGTGACAACCTTGCTTTCCAAAATATTCCAGACACATTTAGTATCCGGAGATTTTTGTAGTCATTGAACGCTGGAAATGAAGCGAGGAACCTCATTTTGTAACCATTCTTGGGTGGCGCGTGCTAAGTGCGATGGTGCTGAGTCCTGTTGGAATGTCCAAGGTCTGCGGTCAAAATGATTGCGTGCGCAAGGCTTTAATAAACCCTCCAGAATATTTTCGTGATAATATTCGGCATTTATTTTGATGCCACGGTCGATTTATACAAGCGGAAAGCGACCATCGACTGTTATGACGGCCCACACCATCACCATGTCCGGCGCTTGAGTTCTGATGGCCAACCGAAGGTGCACATTTTCAGCTGACTTCTTTGGCAAGTAAACACGATCAGTTTGTTTGTTTACAAACTGCTGGACAACGAATGTTTTCTCATCGGAGCGGAGATAACCAAATTCGACAGTTCACCACTTTCGGTCAAGCGAAGCAACTCTTTAGCTCTTTTGAGTCTATTTTCTTTCAATTGCGGTGTAAGTTCTTGCACTTTTTGGAATTTCAAATGCTTTACCCCGAGCTCATTTTTCAATATTTGCCGAATGGAATATTGCGATATGTTCAGCTCACGAGCCATTTTTCGGCCACTGCGATGCGGATTTCGATCAAGTCGCTTCTTAACTTTTCGAACCATTTCTGCTGATATTGCTTTGCTGTTTTCTTCCATCCACTTCCATAACGTCGGGCTTCGCCACCAGTAACACGGTAACGGGCGATGGTACGAGACGTAAAATATTTATTCACATTTAAATGCTAGAGTGCTCTAACGATAGCCACTTGTGGTTTACCAGCCAAATATAAAGAAATCACGCTATCACGCTTGAATTCCATCACGAATAACTGTTTTTCTGGAATATTCTCACCAAAATGCTTTTGTACGCTTGTAGGCAATTAGATGAGCTGTCACTGGTATAATTTCAACAGCTATCGGACGAGTGGCTTAGAAATAACAGCAGTCTGAAGTTGGTTGCAGTATTTTCATCTCATCCTGTTTATGGGAGCTATAGCTAGATTTGAACCGATTTAATGTGTTGTTTCTAGACTGAATTCGGTTGGATGTGCCAAAATTCAGGTCATTTGGACTTATATTGGTCATTTGTTGGACAATTAACCCGAAATCGGTTGAAGATATATGGGAGCTACATCCAAATCTTACCCAATTATCACCAATTTAAATATAAATAAAAAATAAACAATATCAAAGGTTTGCAATAGTTTCGTTCTGTACTTTCCCAAAGTACGAAACTAAACAAAACCGATATTAAGATAACGGGACTTGTTTTTAATTTTGTACTGTTTGTGTAGATGAATGAAAACAAAAACAATACTGAAATGTACTCGACTGGATGACGCATCATTGAAAACGAAACAGTTCAAAACTCATTGGAAACGTTTACAAACGTTTCCCTATATTATTATATAATATTAACGTAAATTTAAGCCCTTTTATTTATTTATTATATCCATCATTCAATGGAAAAATGTGCAAAACAATGCTTTGAATTGCAACTCTATATATAGCAGTCATCATTTCGCACAGAAAACGTTTACAAACGTTTCCCGGCGATTCGTTCGCAAACGATACAGCTTGGTAACTCATAGCCGAAAAACATTAAAGCAATCGTATTGTTTGTGTATTTCTGGCATTGAAATGTTTGTGGTTTTGTTTTGTTTGGAGTACAAAACGATTAAAAAAAATGAAAGTTTGTCACTTCGTGTGAGCAGTACGTTATTCGTTTTGTTTGTTGTCGTTTGCTGGTCATAGGTTAAGGCATATTTCTTATATTCCAATAACCTAATATTTTAAGCATATTTATGGTGTTCAACCGATTTGGTTATAACTATGGTTTATACCATATAGAATAATATTTAATTTTTGGAAATCTTAATTTTCGTATACATAATAAATGTTATGTATTTTAAACTTTTGCGACACTAAAAATAAAATTTCCACCCGTTCTTCTATCCATGATTTTTTTTCCTCAAAGCTGGTTGCCAAGCAAATAAATTGATATTTAACGGTGAAAGTTAGATAAAATCAATTGAGATATTGTTCACTTTTACTTAACTACAAAATAGTTTAAAGAAAGATTTATCATTATAGAGAAGTGTTGGTATTACTTTCTTATCATAATTAGTTCATATTAAATGTCAGACTATTGGTCGAAAAAACCACCACTTGACTTGGCGGCGAGTTATCGACAAGTTTGTATTTTGTTATTTTTTAAAACTGTTTCCAATCAATTCTGTGTAAACAATTAATAATTGATAAGATTAGTTTTGGACAATGCGTATTGGACATGTTTCGTAAATAAAATGTTGAAATAAATCAATAAATTTGAAGGAGAAAATAATCAAGTAAGCAAAGGTAAAAAGTAACCAGTAAAGAAAGTCTTAAAGTCGGGCGGGGCCGACTTTACGATACCTTACACCAATTTGCTAATTTAGTAGAGCTGCACATAACAATTAAAAGTTTTTATGGGAGAATTCGATCATACACGCTATGATTATAATTATAATTTAAAGTTCAAAAGACTAAATATGCCGCAGCATTTGTATCATTTAAATTCGGATTTGTATTGCCCATTTGATATATATCGGAGCTACATCCAAATCTGAACCGATCTTGATAAAATTTGACAAAGATATTTCTGAGCTGTATTTGATATATTTCCCTGAAAAGCGTTGTTACAGAGTGCATATTATGGCTGTGTGTAACAAATATAACAAATCGGATGAACAATATATATGGGAGCTATATCTGAACCGATCTTCACCAAATTTGGCACACTACCTTCTAGACTCAATTCTTGCTTGCATGTTAATGCATTCGGTCGTATGTGTCAAATTCCATCCCATTTGGGCAAATATTAGACGTTTGGTGCACAATAAAAGATAAATCGGACGAAGTTATATATGGGAGATATATCCAAATCCGAACCGATCTCGATAAAATTAAGCAAAGGTATTTCTGAGCTGTATTTGATATATTTCCCCAAATATTGTTGTTACAGAGTGCATATTACGGCTGCGAAGGACTAAAATAACAAATCGGATGAACAATATATATTGGAGCTATAGCTATATCTGAACCGATTTCGATCAAATTTGGCATACTTATTTTCAGGCCTAATTTAGTTGTATGTGCAAAATTCCATACTATTCGGGCTGATATTACACGTTT